CCATTTTTTTGTTTAATAGGTAGATTATTCTCTTTTAACCCAACCTTGAGTCATTTTTATTTCTTTATTTTCCATTTGTTATATTTGGAGCTAAATTTGGTGATAAACTTGTCTTTACAACATTTGGGGTAGATGTTATTTTAACTTGGAAGTACTGTGTTTTATGCTGCAGCATTCCAGCAGTATTAATTTGTTCTAAACCGGCTTTTTGAAAAAATGCTTATTGATTCAGTTGTTGTAGTGGAATGAAGACAAAATCTGGAAATCTTTTGGTTATTAACCTTCACAGCTGGAGAATGGGTTTTTTGGTGGCTACTTTAGCTTGATTTGATGTTCCCTTTTTCCATATTGTCTCCTCTTTATGAACATGTTGTTTTCCAAGACTTTTGTCTTTACTCTTAGGACTTTTGTATAAATAGGAGTCTTGGGTGATCCTTTGTAATCATCCCACAAACACATAACTTTCAGAATCTCTAGTTTATGTTTATGCAAGTTAAGTTCTTGAATTTTCTTTAAATATTGTTCTTCGTTATGAGTTGCTGCAGCATCATTGTTTATTTATTTATTTTTCTTGTCATTTAATTTTCGCTCTTTACTTTCAGTCATTTATATTTATGTCTTTACTTTCTGTTCTTCACATTTTATGTCATTTATTTTCTTTAATGAGTAGCTAATTTCATTAGCTTGGGTGTAAGATAAAGGGTGAAATGTTAAATCGAATGAAAGTGGATGTTGTTTCGCAATAACAATGTTCCACTATTTCATTCAAGTTTTATAAAACCAAGTACACTTCTTGACGAGTTGATCACTTTGAAAGTGTTAAAGTGTCATGGTCTTAGAGATAAGCCATTGAATGCACGTCAGCTTGAATGATATGAGAGGTAGACTTGAGAAAGTTACCGACAAGGAGACTTGTCATTTATGTCTATCAAACTTAACTTCTGATAGGTTGGTCACTCTTTAAAAGTGTCAAAATACGATAGATTCAGAGATAAACTATCCAGAACACACGCCAACTTGAATGATATCGGAATCGGCTCGAAATAGTGATTTTTAACAAAGAGATTTTTTTATCCATATATTTTGAAGACACCATTTTGTCACTATCCCTGGTCCGGATACCACATAGAGATATGAGTTGAAAGCTATAAAATAGTGCAAAGGTGAAGTCGGAGAGGAATACCTTCAAAGTAGATAGTGGAACTAATTATAGTTTACTTCATGCTGTAGCATTTCTACAGCATTGTCTGCTAGAATTTGTGTTTACGTTTCACCACAAGTCTTACACTCTTGCTACCCTTTATATTATGTTACTTTATCATTATTAACTCATAATCAAACTAAAGTCTTCAATTTCATCATCTGAAATCATTTCTTTTATTAGACTTTTGTTACAATCTCTGTGGACGATAAACCAATATTTTTACCACTTTATTACTTGGAAAGACGATATGGGGCCATATTGTATACTTGCTTTGTGGCTCATTTCATTTGTCTAAAGTTGTGCGATATAACCTACCACTCACTTTAACGTTCCTTCTCATCGGAACCCAACACACACACACATATAGAGAGAGAAAGAGGTGAATTATTATGCAACTCTTTACATTTGTACAACCAATACAACTCAATCTCAACCGTCCATTTAATTTGATAAATATGTGATTTCATAAAACTTTGATTGTTTCTTAATATAAAGTATTGATTATAATTAATGAACCCTAGTCATCTTCCATAAATATTCAAATCATAATAAATAAATACTCATCATTTCCATAAATATCTAAATTGATTGAGTTGCATTGGTTGTACAAATGTGATGTGTTGCATTTGAAACGTCCTATATATATATATATGTGTGTGTGTGTGGAGTTCAAACGAGAATACCTTTATCTTATGAGAATGGGAGAACATTTATAGGCCTCCAAAAAATTATTAACCAATAACTAAAATTAAGAGAAAATAAAGTAATTAGTTACTAATAATCATGTGATTTCGTATTTATCTGTAATTTTGATGACATCCTTATCCTTAAATTACATACAAATAATATACTCGTTGATATCAAATCATTATCGCATTATTATCACAATAAAATCACATAGTGAACAAGATGATTGTAGATGTGATCATCATTGGTTTTCGATTATGTTAACATTATCACAACAAAATCACATAATTTATCCGATGACTATCAAAGCAAAATCACAAAATAAAAAAAATCTTTAATTTATTAAAACATTAACACAATAAAATCAGATCATTATCACATTATCATCGTCAAGAGACACATCAACATTTAAGAGATAACGATAAATGTAAGATAACAGAAAATTATAGATAAATACTAATTCATTTTCATTTATTCTAATTTTTTAATGTGTTAATTAATTTGGAGACTCGGAAATATTCTCGCATTCTCGTAAAATTGGAAGTGTTTTATTTTGAACTTCTCTCTCTCTCTCTCTCTCTCTATATATATATATATATATATATATCTATACTATATTATAAAACATTTAATAAAAACTCTTAAAAACCATTTTTTATGAATGAAGTACTGTATATTGATGCATATTGCATATTACTTAAATTCAAGATTACAAATAAATTATGCATAAATACAACTTGTTAAAGCTCTATGTTTGAATTCGCTTAATTAACTGTGGATAAACAGAACCAATTAGAGGATAAACATTTCATTTTAAATATAAAAAATCTAAAATATAATTAGAATAATCATTGAGTTCTAACAGAATACTAATTATTATCTTCATAAAAAAATTATATTATTAAACCAAATATAAATTACTTCGTTATTAAACCTAAATTAAATTATAATAAAAAAATTGAATTAAAAAATTACACAAAAAATATGAACTTTAAATAGTTAATTTGATACTAATATCGATATATTTTTGTCAAAATTTTATGATATATTCAAATATATTTTATTCAAAAAGAAAAACATTATCGTTTTTTCAAAATCACATAAGACCATAGTATAACATCAATTGAGATAAAAAAATAAAATGAAATATTAACATCAATTGTGTGTGTAATTTGAAAAATGATCTAAACATAATAATATAATGAATTAATTAAAAATCAAACTTATTAAAATAAAATACAAAAACATGTATAAAAATTTACAAGAAACGGAAAACAAAATAAAATTCATAAATATATTTTCTGTTTCATTTTTAACTTATATCTATACTATCTTATAAAACATTTAGCTAAAACTCTTAAAACTCTTAAAAACTCTTAAAGACAACCTCTATTGCTAATGGTACAACCTGTTAAAGCCATCCCTAAACGATTTCATCCCTATCCGATTTCATCTTTATCCTATTTTATCAAATACAGAATAAACATCTCATTTTAAATATAAAAAATCTAAAATATAATTAGGATAATTATTGAATT